TTCAGATTTAAAGCTTTACGACTAAATTTGTTGTAGTTTTACAGCCAACAGTTCACTCTCTTACTCTGTAAGCCTCCTGTTATTTGGGGGTTCCTTGAGTGGAGCATGGGTTTCTTGTGCAAAAGCCAGGCTGTGTTTAATATTTATCCTTTTTAAAAAAATAAACACTTCGTTTTGTCACCGAATAATAGGTAGCAGTTATTCTTTCTTCTTTCACTTTTCCATAAAAGTAACAAACACATTTTGTGCATTTTTTGTCTTAGCGTCATAATTTCAAATAACGTGGGTGCCCTGTGTTTAAAGCTCAAAATGTTTAACGCTTAATTTTGACATGTTCCACCGATAGGATTTTGGCGGATTTTTAGTATGTTGCTAGATAGGGCACCCTTACTTAAATAGCGTTGAAAACAATTCTGTTGCAATTAATTTGATGTTGAGCCTCGAAATTGCCTAGATTGACTGGACTATAGTCCTGAATCAGTCTCCTATGGCACCATTAAAGGTAGACTGTACTAGTGGCCTTGTTATAGAGATTCTTTATTACCTGAATTAGGTTGGCGTTACTTCTATCAGTCTCCTAAACGCCCATATTGCCACGGAAAGGTTTATCTTAGTCCCAAGGTGGGGATTTTGTATAAATCTGCTAACCCCACTGTGGAGCATTTACAGCCTTCTCCGAAAAAAAGACGACAACGCACGACAAAAGTCTTGGGCGGGTGGAGGGGGGATGGAAGCGCTTAGATTTGATAGAGTTATTATCTCTGTACAAAATCGCACCATTTTATGGCGTTAGTACTTAATGGAACCCAAACCTTGGAAATTGAAACATTCTCAGTCTTTCAATTTTTTAAAGTTTTAAGTATCGTTCTATCTACAAGCCTTTGATACTATACACTGTAATTGCTCACGTGAGTCCATTAAATCGATTTATGATCTATTGGACCTGCCAAAATTAAAAAAAGAAAAACGTATGTGCATTTTGCTTTTCGACGTTGTATAGTTAACAACTCACTGAAGACACCACAATGAATCAGATTGTTGAAAATTTCGAAAGAAACGCAAGATTTAAGGATGACAACGAAGCCGAAATTATTCGACAGAAACTCGAAAGACTAGTATCTAGCATTCAGGTACAAGTTGCAAAGCGCGACAAACGCTTCCAGAGCACTTTGATCCAGATCGGAAGTGTATACGAAGGGGTAAAAGTTCATCGACCTGACGAATTTGACTTCAAAGTCAGAATCGACTGTCTCACTAACAAATCTCTCCTTTATCCCTGTGAAAATAATCCAGGATACCTGAGACTCGGTCAAGATGATGAGAAATGGAAAGAATTTCAAGATGAACAAGGCTTCTTAAGCCCTAATAAGCTGTGCCGCCATTTTAAACGGCTGGTAAACGAATCTTGGAGTACTATAGACGTCCCCGAAGGAATGACCATACAAGAAGTAAATCAGGGTTACATCAAAGGACCGTGGGGAGTTGTGCTCACTGGTTTACTTGGGGGCGAGGGCCGCCCGTCTGAGGTCATGGACATAGAATCGCACGGCCCAGCTACGACAATAAAAGTTTCATGGAACGGTGGCAGCAGTTACAGAGGTTTACTTATAAGTGTTGATTTAACCCTAGCGCTGGAATACGCCATTTCGAAGCTTCCAGTGAGGTTGTCAGACCAGCTTCCACACACTGTAGCCAGTGGGTATCTCAACAATGCTGGTTTCTGTCCGATTCTTCAGACGACTTTAAAGCATGTTACCGAGTATTAAAGTACGTCAGGGACAGCGCTGCAGACAACCTCGGTTTGGAAACATCCTTGGTTCCTTCTTACTTGTTTAAGAGCGTCTTGCTATCTGAGGTTTCTACCGCGGGTGCGGAGTCCGAGGATTATTGGCTGGGAAGGATAAAAGACATCTTAAATGTCGTTTTGCGGGGGATTAAGCATGGAGATATCCAGAATTTCTTCCTGTCAGGATACAATCTACTGTCCACAACTGACCACAAGAACAAGTTGCGACAGTTCATCGTGGAAAACATGTTGAGTCTCGTGCAGGATTTGAAAATGACACACACTCGAGAAGAAGTTAGAGAGACGAAAAAGCAGATCAGATTGCTAGAAATGGTAAATGTACTGGAATTCTTGGTGTCTGAAACTCTTGGTGGAAAAGATCTCACCGCGTTCTGGAATAAACTGTTTGTCAACATTGATGATATTCCTACGGATGAAACTTACGAAGAAGGCAAGTTTAAGGTCCAGATCACTGACCTTGATAGGTTAGACCTTGATGAAGATGTCTATGTAAGGCTTATTCAAGAATGGTCTGCGTTGGAATATCTTTTCGACCAACTGATTGCTGTCCTTCCTGAAGATCTGAAAAATTTGGCTCGAAAGTTCTATATCAGAACCTGGGACAAAAGGAAGAAATTTGAACGAGAACATAAAGGTGCCCTTGTTAACCAAATCAAGCAAATAACAATTCATGAAGCTGCCTGTCAATACATAATGGAGTACTCTGAGAATTACTTAGACGGAAAGGGCTCTGCTGCAAAGTGTTACTCAAATCTGCTCAAAGCAATTCCTCCTGGTTACACATCTCCGGGATTCCTTCAGGATGTCGCTGATGTAACCTTGAAAGAAGGAAGTGAACGAGGTCGTGTGGTATTCAAAGAGCTCCTTTTGCAATACATGTCCTTGGTTCCTGAATCAGTATTAATGTCGCTTCCTGTTGGCTATATAAGCCAGATATTTTTTCATGGCCAAGAGATGATACGGCGCAAACTTGACTACATCAAACTGCCGGAGTTAGATCTAGACTGAAGGCAAAATTCTTCACAGACAATGTTTCTAGGATGCAGGATGATTGTTGTAGTCAGATGACAGCATTATGCAACTCTCGGTGGTTGCGCTTGAAAAATTTTGTTGTGGCGTGCGGGACGTCTTCCCGAAACCCGGAGCTTGTTTCAGACCAAACTTCGCGATTTTCCATCTGAACCGGGATGGCGTCATCATGTTGCCATGGATACGTCGAACTAAAAAATGACTTTTTTCGAAACTCTAAACTATATGCTACAAATAGGTACAATGTGATTTCCTGCTTTGTTTACAGCATTTTAAAATTATATTCGTGTTATACTCGTGTTATATTCATGTATACTGAAAAACCGCTGATAAGAGAGTCGGAATAATAAACATATTTCATTTCCCACATCTGACATGCAGTATTCGGTGCATGATTCTACAAAGTAAAGAACATTTTCCAGTTGTTGGGTAATCTGTTCCAAAATGTAGCGCCTCTACAGGCAAAAGATCGCTCCCTAGTTTTCAATCTGCATCTCGGTAGATTCAGATCTGTTTTATATCGTGTGTTTCATGATGAGCTAGTCTACGTGTAAATTTTTGACTAAGGTAGTCTGGTGGTCGACCATTTAGGTACTTATATATGGACCATTTATCAGGAATAGGAAGCCATATAAAGTGACTTGAGTACCTCAGAAATGTGATCATATTTCGGGAGACCAAGAACTATCCTGCCGGCAAAGTTCTGAACTAATTGCAATCTTTTTAAATTTGTTTTAGAGGTGTTGCTCCATACGGTGGAACAATAAAGCAATTTACAGAAAACAAAAGCGTTAATTAGTAAAAGTAGCGTCTTTCTATCAGGAAGGTGCTTGATTCTGTTGATCCTTATTAATCTATGCATGCAATCAATCTCGTTCCTAGGGTCCTCTCGGGTAGGAGAGAACCCTGGGCAGGTCCAATAGAACATTAATTGATTTAATGGACTCACGTGAGCAATTACAGTGTATAGTATCAAAGGCTTGTAGATAGAACGATAAAACTTTAAAAAATTGAAAGACTGAGAATGTTTCAATTTCCAAAGTTAGAGCTCCATTAAGTACAGACGCCGTAAAATGGTGCAAACTGGGGTTAGCAGATTTATATAAAATCCGCATCTTGGGACTAAGATAAACCTTTTCGTGGCAATATGGGCGTTTAGGAGACTGATAGAAGTAACGCCAACCTGATTCAAGTAATAAAGAATATCTATAACAAGGCTACTAGTGCAGTCTACCTTTAATGGCGCCATAGGAGACTGATTCAGAAAAAGAGTCGGAGTGAGCAAAGCTGTGTGCCCTCACCGACTCTTTTCAACATCTTTCTGGACAGAATTATGACTGACGCACTAGAAGATCGCCAAGGAACAGTCAGCATCGAAGGCAGAACAATTACCAACTTACGTTTTGTCGACAACATTGATGGCTTGGCAGGAAAAGAGGAGGCACTAACCTTTCCGTTGGGTCGGCTGGATAAGCCCTCTAAACCATTTGGCATGGAAGTTAGTGCAGAGAAGACGAAACTTATAACCAACATCACGAATGCGATCAGCATTGACATCAGTCAGGGTCAACGGTGAAAAATTGGCAAGGTTGACAGTGAGAGTATCTGGGCGCAGTCGTCATAGATCAAGGTTCCAAGCCTGAAATACTCCCCAGAATTGCACAGACAAGAGACTAGAGGCCATCTGGAACGATAAGCATATCTCTCTTAGCTCAAAGATAAGACTTATGCTGGTTGTCTAAGTACTCAGTGTTGTAAGCCTGCGAAACCTGGACATTGACAGCCGACTTCGTGGAGAAATTGGAGGCCACTGAGATGAGATGGCGCAGGAAACTTCTTGGCATCTCATACAGAGACCGTATTCACTAACGATGCAGTCAGAGACAGAATCAGGCAAGCCATTGGCCCCTATGATGATATTTTAACCACGCTAAAGAAACGCAAGTGGTTTGAACATAAGATCAGCAGGGCTTACCAAGACAATTTTACTAGGAACAGTGCAAGGAGGGAGAAGAAGAGGACGACAAAAGACGCGTTGGGAGTATAACATCTTTTAGTGGACAGGGTTGAAGTTTTGCGATGCCCCAAAGAGAATCTAAATACAAAATCAATTGGAGAAAAAGGGTTGTTAGGTCTGTGGCGTCCCAACAGTCACCATGACAGCGGGATTTGTGCGAGTGCAATCCCTAGTCATTAACCCTGATAAGCTAAGCTCCTGGTTATCGGAGTTCCGCAGATTGCGAGAAACCTGCCATATTTTCCGCCGGTTGGATTACTGGACAAAGGAATTAAACCTGTATCTGTTTCAAATTGCATGCCAACTTCGTTCCAAATAAGACCGTTATTAGAGAACCACTGGTTAAAGCTTTTAAAATCCTCGTTAATTCTGTACCCGGCCTCGCCAACGTCTTCGGAGCTAAACTGAATCTCGGTATCGTCTGCAAATAGCGCAACATCAGAATTGTGACATTCTTTAGATATGTTGTTTATATGAATATTAAACAAAGTTGGACCCAGGACCGACCCTTGCGGGACTCCAAACGGGAGATGTCGAAGCTCAGAAGAGGAGTCATACAACAAATCGAGATCTACCTAATAGGTAGCTATTAAACCACTGAAGAGCGTTTCCTTTAATACCATAAGATTCAAGTTTGGCAAGCAGTATATCATGCTTGACATCAAACGCTATTCTCAAGTCTAGGTAAACGCAAACAGACTTTAGACCATCGTCGATAGCAAACTTCCAAGAGTCTACTACTTTGAGCAATGCCACTGTCGTTGAAGAAAACTTGGAGTAATAGGCGAATTTATGCTGTTCTGTGAGACCGACCTCGTGTGCAAAATTTCGTAAGACTCCATGACCTTCGAAAGACAGGGTAATACCGAAATAGGCCGATAATTAGGAGGATCACTCATCGATAATTATCACAATCGGTTGGTGAGCCTGCTTTGAACAGTGGTGCTACCCTGGCTATTTCCCAGACAGATGGAAATTGACTAGTGCGAAGCGAGTCATTAAAAAGGTAAGTCAGACTCTGAGAAATGTTAGGCGCCGCTAGTTTAAGTGCCTTTGCGGAAATTCCGTCGCATCCTGTGGCTTTGGCTTGATCGAGTTCCTCGAAAGCCTTAAAGATTTCTTGTTTATTACGTAATGTAAAATTAAAGATCTTGATGTCAGGAGAAACAGGCTCTGGCGCTGTTTCAGATACGAGATCGTGACGATTGGCCAATAATGTTGTTGCAATGGAGGTAAAATAGGTGTGCATTGTTTTGATTGTCATGTGCATGTAACGTTGATTAAGGCGAATAAGTGCTTGTTTATATTAAGATCCTTACGTAAGGAAGGTTATTCTCAGGCGGAGTTAGATCACTTGTTTTCAAGTATTGTACTTCCTAGCATCACTTATGGGTTGCCGGTATATGGAGCTTCTGAGGCGGAGCTGACAGCAATGCAGTGTTTTCTAGATAGATGTTACAAACGTAAATATATATGTAGTAAAGTATGTCCTAAGGTATATAGCATAACCCTACACTCCTCAATGGAACTATTACCTAAGAAGAAAGTAACTACTAACTATTTAATGAATCAAACAAGTCAGTATACGAAAGTTAATACAGATAGATTCAAGAACTCTTACATTAATCGCTTAATTTTTAAATACAATTTACCTATGTGAGCGTATGTTTTTTTTTGTAAATAACTTAGATATATATACTTTTTACTCAAATATTGTAACATAAGATATGTATTTTTTATCTTGTGTGGAAATAAAGACTACTACTACTAAGACTACTACTATTCATGACATTAGCGATATCATTGTCACTGGTTAGTTTTTTCTCGACTACAATTAGTCTCAACAACTCCCGTATGTCATTACAACCCTGATCATAATAATTTTTCATCTTTATCTAGTACAGCTGTGGTGGTAATTTTTCCAAATCTTTGTTAATGGCGACGTAGTTTATGCTCAAACTTGTGAGGTATTGACCTTGAAAAACCCTATCGAGCCATCTTAATTATGTGTTTTAAACATGGTTTAACCATTGTTTATCGAGACAACGTCTAAACCGCAGCTCGGTCATAAACAGGGGTTAACTTTAAATAATCGGCCGTAAAACTCTGTAAGCTTTAAGCATCACAAATATCAAAACCATCAAAAGAAATTTCCAAAATATTTTTGCAAAATCATAGTTGTAAATCACTGTTAATATTGTATTGCAAGGAAAAACCCATCAGGCGTAGGAAATCTTAAGCCGTAGGCAACAACGTTAATTGGTTTGTGGTTTTGTGGCTTTCTCGCCTATCCCTGTTCTTTGCTATGATTGTTCATCAAAACATAATAAACATTCTTGAACTATTTTTGTTTTACAGAAAAGAGTGCACCCCTGATAAACACGGAAAAAGGATCAAAGATATGCGCATTTTCTTTTAGACGTTGCCGGTAGTTAACAACTCTATCACCACCATGCATCTCATTGTCAAAAGTTTTGAAAGAGAAGCAAAGTTTAAAGATAAGAACGAAGCCGAAGTTATTCGACAGAAACTCGAAATGCTAGTATCTAGCATTCAGGTGGAAGTTGCAAAGCGCGACGAAAGATCTCAGGGGGTTTTGATCAAGAGCGGAAGTGTTTACGAAGGGGTAAAAGTCCATCAACCTGATGAGTTTGACTTCATGGTCAGAATTGACTGTCTCACTAACAAACCTCGCCTCTCTTGCTGCGAAGATGTCCCAGGATACGTGAGACTCGCTCAGGATGATGAAAAATGGGGGGAATTTACAGATGAACAAGGCTTCTTCAGCCCTAATCAGGTATGCCGCCATTACAAAAGGCTTGTCAACGAATCTTGGAGCACAATAGACGTCCCCGAAGGAATGGCCGTACAAGAAGTAGAACAGGGTTACATTCAAGGACCGTGGGGAGTTGTGTACACTGGTTTAGTTGGGGGCGAGGGTCGCCCGTCTGATGTTATGGACATGAATCGCACGGCCCAGCTACGACAATAAAAGTTGTATGGCACGGTGGTAGCAGTTACAGAGGTTTACTTATAAGTGTTGATTTGACTCTATCGCTGAAATACGCCATTTCGAAGCTTCCAGTAAGGTTGTCAGACCAGCTTCCACCGACTATAGCCAGTGAGTACCTCAACAAGGCTGGTTTTCACGTCGTTCCAGCGGGATTTGACATGTGGCGCATTTCATTCTCCATTGCCGAGAAAGAAATTCTGTCCGATTCTTCAGACGACTTTAAAGCATGTTACCGAGTATTAAAGTACGTCAGGGACAGCGCTGCAGACAACCTCGGTTTGGAAACATCCTTGGTTCCTTCTTACGTGTTTAAGAGCGTCTTGCTCTCTCGGTATTTTGCAGCTGGTGCGGAGTCCAAGGAACAAGAGTATTGGCTCGAACAAGTAGAAGACACCTTAGATATCGTTTTAAGGCTGATTAAGCATGGAGATATCCAGAATTTCTTCCTGTCAGGATACAATCTATTGTCCACGACTGACCACAAGAACAAGTTGCGACAGATCATCGTGGAAAACATGTTGAGTCTCGTGAAGGGTTTGAAGATGACACACACTCGAGAAGAAGTTAGAGAAACGAAAAGGCAGATCAGAGTGCTAGAAAGTGTAGATATCCTTGATTTCCTTTTGTCTGAAGGTGTTGCTGGAAGAGATATCACTGCGTTTTTTAATAAACTGTTTGTTAACATTGATGATGTTCCTACAGGAGGGGGCGATAGAAAAGACGTTAAGTTCCTTGAGCAGATCACAGATCTTGATGAGTTAGACCTTGATGAAGATGTCTATGTAAACCTCATTCAAAAATGGGCTGCGCTGGAATATCTTTTTGACCAACTGATTCTTTTCCTTCCAGAGGAAGTGAAAATTTTGGCTCGTAAGTTCTACATCAGAACCTGGGAAAAAAGAAAGAAATTTGAACGGGAACATAAGGGTTGCCGTGCCTACCCAATCAAGCAAATAACAGTTCGTGACGCTGCCTGCCAATACATAGTGTCCCAATTCACGGATTACATCGACGAAAAGGGCTCTCGTGGTGGAAATTGTTACTCAAATCTGCGCAAAGCAATTCCTCCGCGTTACACATCTCCAGAATTCCTTCAGGATGTCGCTGACATAACCTTGGAAGACGGAAGTGAACGAGGTTGTGTGGTATTCAAAGAGCGCCTTTTGCAATACATGTCCCTGGTCCCCGAATCAGTATTAATATCGCTTCTGGTTGGCTACATAAGCCAGATATTCGTACATGGCCAAGAGTTGTTACGACGCAAACTTGATTACATCAAACTGCCGGAGTTAGATTTAGACTGAAGGCAAAATTCTTCACAGACAATGTTTCTAGGATGCAGGATGATTGTTGTAGTCAGATCACAGCATTATGAAACTCTCGGTTGTTGCCCTTGAAAAATTTTGTTGTGGCGTTCGGGACGTCTTCCCGAAACCCCGAGCTTGTTTCAGACCAAACTTTGCGATTTTCCATCTGAACCAGAATTGCGTCATCATGTTGCCATGGATACGTCGAACTCAAAAACGACTTTTTTGGAAACTCTAAACCATATGCCACAAATAGGTACAATGTGATCTCCTGCTTTGTTTAAGGCATTTTAAAATTATATTCGTGTTAAAAGACGGTTTGTATACTGAAAAACCTTAAATGCATTGGCGGCTGACAAGAGAGTCGGAATAATTAATATATTTCATTTCCCACATCTGACATGGGCTATTTGGTGCATGATTGTACAAAGCCAAGAACATTTTCCAGTTGTTGGGTAACCTGTTCCAACATGTAGCGCCTCTAAAGGCAAAAGATCGCTGCCCAGTTTTCAATCTGCATCTCGGCAGATTCAGATCTGTTTTATATCGTGTGTTTCTATCATGATGAGCTAGTCTACGTGTAAATTTTTGACTAAGATAGTCTGGTGGTCGACTATTTAGGTACTTATACATGGTCCATTTATCAGCAATAGGAAGTCATATAAGTGACTTCTGTCCTTCAGAAATGTGATCATACTTCGGGAGACCAAGAACTATCCTGCCGGCAAAGTTCTGAACTAATTGCAATCTTTTAAAATTTGTTTTAGAGCTGTTGCTCCATACGGTGGAACAATAAAGCAATTTACGGAAAACAAAAGCGTTAATTAGTAAAAGTAGCGTATTTCTATCAAGAATGTGCTTCAGATTCTGTTGATCCTAATTAATCTATGCACGCAATCTGAAACTATTTTGGTCACTTGTTCATTATCACTTAGGGAGGAGTCAATTATTACTACCAGATGCTTGTCCACAGATACAGGTTAAATTACTTTGCCCAGTAAACCAACCGGCGGAAAAGATGGCAGGTTTCTCGTAAGCTTATATTAGTCTTATCAGGTTTAATGACTAGCGAGTGCACCTGCACCAATCCCGCTGTCATGGTGACTGTTGGGGTGCCACGGACTTAGCAACCCTTTCCCTCCAATTCATTTTGTATTTATTGTTTTTAGCCATCGCTAGACTTCAACCCTGTCCACTGACAGATGTTANGTTTCTCGTAAGCTTATATTAGTCTTATCAGGTTTAATGACTAGCGAGTGCACCTGCACCAATCCCGCTGTCATGGTGACTGTTGGGGTGCCACGGACTTAGCAACCCTTTCCCTCCAATTCATTTTGTATTTATTGTTTTTAGCCATCGCTAGACTTCAACCCTGTCCACTGACAGATGTTATACTTCTAACGCGTCTTTTGTCGTCCTCTTCTTCTCCCTCCCTGCACTGTTCCCGGTAAAATTGACTGGTAAGCCCTGTTGATCTTGCTACATGTCCAAACCACTTTAACTTGCGTTTCTTTACCGCTGTTAAGATGTCGTCGTAGGGCCCGATGGTTTGCCCGATTCTGTCTTTGACTGCATCGTTAGTGATGTGGTCTCTTATGAGATGTCAAACAGTTTCCTAAAGCATCTCATCTCAGTGGCCTCCAATTTCTCCACGAAGTCGGCTGTCAATGTCCAGGTTTCGCAGGCTTACAACAGTACTTAGACAACCAGGAAGAGCATAAGTCTGATCTTTGAGCTAAGAGAGATATGCTTATCGTTCCAGATGGTCTCTAGTCTCTTGTCTGTGCAATTCTGGGGAGTATTTCAGGCTTGGAACCTTGATCTATGACGAATGCGCCCAGATACTCTCACTGTCAACCTTGTCCAATTTTTCACCGTTGATGCTGATGTCAAAGCTGATCTCATTTGTGATGTTGGTTATCAGTTTTGTCTTCTCTGCAGAGGTGCAGAGGTCTTATCCAGGCGACCCAACAGAAAGGTTAGTTCCTCCTCTTTTCCTGCCAAGCCATCAATGTCGTCGGCAAAACGTAAGTTGGTTATTGTTCTGCCTTCGATGCTGACTGTTCCTTGACGATCTTCTAGTGCGTCAGTCATAATTCTGTCCAAAAAGATGTTGAAAAGAGTCGGTGAGCGCACACAGCTTTGCTCACTCCGACTCTAGTTCTGAATCAGTCTCCTATGGCGCCATTAAAGGTAGACTGCACTAGTGGCCTTGTTGTAGAGATTCTTTATTACTTGAATCAGGTTGGCGTTACTTCTATCAGTCTCTTAAACGCCCATATTGCCACGAAAAGGTTTATCTTAGTCCCACGATGCGGATTTTATATAAATCTGCTAAGCCCAGACAACAACGACAACGACTACGACAACTCGCGACAAAAGCCTTGGGCAGGTGGAGGGGGGATGGGAACGCTTAGATTTGATTGAGTTATTATCTCTTTACAAAATCGCACCATTTTACGGCGTCAGTACTTAATGGAGCCCAAACCTTGGAAATTGAAACATTCTCAGTCTTTCAATTTTTTCAAGTTTTATCGCTCTATCTACAAGCCTTTGATACTATACACTGTAATTGCTCACGTGAGTCCATTAAATCGATTAATGATCCATTGGACCTGCCAAAATTAAAAAGAGAAAAACGTATGTGCATTTTGCTTTTCGACGTTGTATAGTTAACAACCTACTGAGGACACCACCATGCATCAGATTGTTGAAAATTTCGAAAGAAACGCAAGGTTTAAGGATGACAACGAAGCCGAAATTATTCGACAGAAACTCGAAAGGCTAGTATCTAGCATTCAGGTACAAGTTACAAAGCGCGACAAACGCTTGCAAAGCACTTTGATCCAGATCGGAAGTGTATACGAAGGGGTAAAAGTTCATCGACCTGACGAATTTGACTTCAAAGTCAGAATCGACTGTCTCACTAACAAATCTCTCCTTTATCCCTGTGAAAACAATCCAGGATACCTGAGACTCGGTCAAGATGATGAGAAATGGAAAGAATTTCAAGATGAACAAGGCTTCTTAAGCCCTAATAAGCTGTGCCGCCATTTCAAACGGCTAGTCAACGAATCTTGGAGAACCATAGACGTCCCCGAAGGAATGGCCATACAAGAATTAGACCAAGGCACCATAGATGGACCGTGGGGACCTTTGTTCATCGGTCTGGTTGGAGGCGAGGGCCGCCCGTCTGAGGTTATGTACATTGAATCGCACGGCCCAGCTACGACAATAAAAGTTTCATGGAACGGTGGTAGCAGTTACAGTGATTTAATTATAAGTGTTGATTTGACGCTAGCGCTGGAATACGCCATTTCAAAGCTCCCAGTAGGGTTGTCAGACCAGCTTCCACAGACTGTAGCCAGTGGCTATCTTAAAAGGACTGGTTTCCACGTCGTTCCAGCGGGTTTTGATATGTGGCGCATTTCATTTGCCACTGCCGAGAAACACATCCTGTCCGATACTCCTGACGAGTTTAAAGCATGTTACCGAGTATTAAAGTACGTGAGGGACAGTGTCACAAACGACCTTGATTTGGACGCATCCTTAGTCCCATCGTACATTTTTAAGAGCGTCTTGTTATCCCGGTATTTTGCAGCGGGAGAAGAGTCCAAGGAAAAGGAGTATTGGCTCGAACAGGTAGAAGACACCTTAGATGCCGTTTTGCAGGGGATTATGCATGGAGATATCCAGAATTTCTTTTTGTCAGGATACAATCTACTGTCAACGACTGACCACAAGAACAAGTTGCGACAGTTCATCGTGGAAAACATGTTGAGTCTCGTGAGGGGTTTGAAGATGACACACACTCAAGAAGACGTTAGAGAAAGGAAAAGGCAGATCAGAGTGCTAGAAATTGTAGATATCCTGGATTTCCTATTGTCTGAAGGTCTTGATGGCAGAGATACTGCTGCGTTATGGCAAAAATTGTTTGTTAATATTTATGATGTTCCTTCTGAAGAAAGTTATGAAGCCAAGTTTTCTAACCAGATTACTAACCTTGATAGGTTAGACCTTGATGAAGATGTCTATGAAAAGCTCGTTCAAGAATGGGCTGCCTTTGAATATATTTTCGACCAACTGATTGCTGTCCTTCCAGAAGACTTGGAAATTTTGGCTCGTAAGTTCTACATCCGAACCTGGGAAAAAAGGAAGAAATTTGAACAGGAACATAAGGATAACCCTGCCCACCCCATTCAGCAATTAGCTATTCATGAAGTTGTTTGTGAACATATCGTGGAGTACGCTGAAAATTACATTGATGGAAAGGGCAATACTGCAGCAAATTGTTATTCAAACCTTCACAAAGCACTTCCTCCTGGCTACAGATCCCTTGGATTTCTTCGGGATATTGCCAATATAACCTTACAACAGGGAAGTGATCGAGGGCGTGCAGTATTCAAAGATCGCGTTAAGCAGTACATGTCATTGGTTCCTGAATCAGTATTAATGTCAGTTGTTGTTGGCTATCTTAGCCAAATATTCTTTCATAGCAAAGACGTGCTACGACGCAAACTTGACTACATCAACATTCCGGAGGTAGATCTCCATTAAAGCCAAAATCTTCACGCACTACAACTACCAGGTTATTTAACTTTTTTGTTTTCTTGTCTAAACCGGCATTTAAAAAATAAACTACAATTTTGGTTTGTAAGTTCAAAACATAATACGAAACTGAAATACCGGTTGTATATTGTGTCAAATGACGCCATTATCAAAATGTACTGTAGACGTTCCAGGATGAGGCGTCTTTTTTCATGTAGGCGCGTTTCACTGGCAGCAAAGCAAAAACTGTTTTGTGCGTTACCGCTTCTTTAACATAATTTATCTTTGTCATAAAATTTTGCCCGAAAAATATCAATTACAGCAGAAAGCGGAACGAAGAATCAAGAATCAAATGTGAAGAAGATCATCGCAGTTAGAGAAGCAGCTATTGTAGCATAAAGAAAACCTGAATGACAGGATAAAAAAAAAATTTCAACCAAGGAACTTTAGGGGCATGAATCAGGGTTGTTCCAGACTTATACGATGCAAGATGTTCAGCAAAATCCTGAACTTAAAAGATACCTGCTGGGTGGCCTGTGTAGTAGGGGGCGGCTTTACACAGGTTAGGTATTTGCTTGACATACGAAACTCGATGTAAAATAAGTATAGTTGACAAGTAAAAGAGTGTTTTTAGGAATCCACTGCTTTTGAAAAATCTCTGATATACTGTATGATTTAGTAAAATGGACTGTAATAATCTGGCTGTTCAGTTTTAGTCTCTCTTAAGAATAAAAAATATTAATAGTCAAAAGACGTGCGCAAGGACGGTTTGGAGTATGCAAGTGTTTACCGAAAAGAACGAAACCGCGGGACAAAGAAAATTAGGAAAAACACGACTTGAATAGTATGCTTCGTCGTCGTCGAACGCAACAAGTACGATCAAGTACTCACTTGATTTTTCTTCATGCAATTTGGGATAAATCAGCGCTAGCAAATTTTTCAAAGACTACAAATTGCAGTCGCCCTAATGACCACAGCAATTTCTTTAGTCTTTCAAAAATTTACTTGAGCTGATTTCTCCCAAAATTCCACTGGAAATTATGTGATTGCCTATACATACTGTAATGCTGATTTACCAACCTCTCGGATTGGGGATGGCGACATCTTTTCACTTACTGACATTAAACAACTAGACTACGAGTAGTCCCCAATTTTTCCTCAGGGATAGTAGAGCGAGCGAAACGCGAGCGCGTGTGAAGATCACCCCACGCGAGAAAGGCGAGACGCGGCGGTGAGAGTTCCAGTAACCTTTTCATTGCACTACCAGTCACTGATGACAAGTCAGTGGTCACAAACAACAATTCAATATTACTTCTTGTTTGGAATCTTTTATTTGTTTTGGAAATAGTATTTAAACTCTGCATGGTTTAGGCATATCTAAGTATCGTAACCACTCCTTGCCGCTTTTTTCAGTTAATGCACTTCATTAAAAAATTTCGGTAAAAAGCTACAAAAAGAGACCTGTTATCAACAAATATCCCGATACTTTTGCACAACCGTACAGTCGTAAATGACCTAGAACAAAATACTAACAGTAATAAACGCTCTAGCGCTAAGTTCGGTTGAATGAAGACGTAAAAAAATATGTTAGCCATATAAAGGATTCTTTTCATTTTTTAACAGTTATTTGCAGTCAATTAGCTTCAATTTTTTCCTATGAAAAACCAGTCAATACTTGAGTACTGTTGGCCTGCTGTACCAGACACAAGTCAATTTAGCTCGGTCACATAACTTGAGAAAGTAAATAATTCACTTATTCTAACGCAATGAGAATAATTTCATCGTCGGCTCTCTGTAAAAGTAAATCTGCTCTGACAGAGCACCAATAAATTACCGGTTTTTGAATCTATTTTATATTGTTTTGTCACACCAGAAGGTAAAAGCAACATTACTCACGCACAAAGGTTTCGCACAACCCAGCCGTCGCAGTGGAAAACAATGAACCTAGTTCAAATGCATTAAAATTGTAGGACATGAATAAGGGTTGCCGCATTATAGAATGTACAATGTTAAGCGGCATTCCGTAATAAGACTGGGTTGGTTGACGTACAGACTTCCACTGTCAACACATGATCAGATAATTATAGAGTATCATTAAAAGGTAGAGGATTTATTTACGAACTCACTGCTTCGAAAAAACTCGGATGTGCGTACATGTAAAATTATGAATAAATGGATGGACTATAATAATCTTTAGTCTTTAGTCTCTGTTGAGAATAAATAAATGTAATGGTTACAAAAATCTATGGATAAATGTTGTCATTAAATGCTCCCTAATGTCCACAGTGCCAGCATTATATTTGCTGCAAGTAACAGCGTTCCAAGTGTAAGAATGACATTGCAGAGCATATTTCTTTGATCTTCATGAGGGATGTATGTTGTAAGAGTATGATCTACAAAAGCAAATAACGCCCACTGTCCATCTAGTGAATAACAAGGAACCATGTTAAGCAGAGCTAGAGCCCCAGATAAAGAAACTAAATATCTTAATTAAGTCAAGGACACAAAACAAATGGCTTCCTATAACTTACAGTTTTCATTTCACTGTGTGGAATGGTTTCTCGATCAGGGCAGCTGTAAAACTAAAACCAATCAATAGTCCAGTTTCGAATTAAAAATTACCGCTGAATACAAACATTAACGACGCATTCATACAGGGTTAGCCTCGACGTGAAGTAACATATTCTGACATTCTGGCAAGTAAGTGTTTGAAATTTGAATTTACACAACAGACAGGGTAACAAACAGGTCTTTTTCTCGTTGGAATTTGTGAATATATTACTTCAGATGGAGGCTACGGCTGTAAAAAATGCGTCTTCAGTTCTTTAATTCAGCGGTCATCGCGAACTCGAAAATGGACTATTTTAGACATGTTGGACACACATAAATGCAGCTGAAGTTGATTCAAAAGATCGATATCTCTACCCAGATGTTGCAAAGCTGGCATTGGCTTGATTCCTCAGCACTTAAACATTAACCAGCTACACAACTGACGAGACCAGGCAAGTAAATGTATGTAAGTTTGGACAGTTCACAAAAGCCTTCCCTTTGATTATTGTTCAAGTGGAACATAAATGTACCAGTGTTAACTATTTTCTACCAGTTAAAGTGATAGGTTATACAGACAAAGACTCTCAGTTATTTCATTTATTTGCTGAGCATAGTATTAAAAATGGGAAAATAATATGCTATTAGAAAACTTCATGACGTTCCTGTTTGATCTGAAGTAGTTTTCTTTTAAAAAAAATTTGGTTGTTGTTGGTGGAACTGATTGCCAGAACGGAAAAAATTTACTGTAAATGGTATTAAAAAAAAACCAGACATAGATAATATAAATTTACCACTGCCCAACTGCATCTCCCCATCACTTTAACCCAGAATACATTGCCATCGCACCCTTGAGTTTAAAATATAACTATTATTCTTGAATCCAAAGGATACATTAAAAACATTTCTACCATATTTGGAAGTTCCATGGGAAGAAGCGTGTTCCGCCGTTGATAATTTATGACTCCCACTGAAAAAAAGAAGCCAGATGCATGTACTCAGCTGCAGTTTAACTGAGTTAAACTGTGCAATAAAAGAATGCACTCAATACACTTTTTAATTAAAAACTCTCATTGCTGACACTGGCTAAAACGCTAAAAGGTACCCATCGGAAAAAAAAAAACATTAAACAGAACACCAATAACTTGATGTTCTCCTTTTGCATGGTCTACAAACTTCTTTTGAGTTCACATAAACGTTTCCCTGAACATTTTTAGCATATAAAACACTGTCATGATTAATAGATTGACACTTGTCAAAACTGCAATAAGGATTCCAAAAGTACACATATTCTGACTCTTGTCAGTAGTCGGCGAAAAAGGAGCTTGCTCAGTTAATTACTTGTCAGAACGGACTATTACTTGTTGCAAATTTTAGTGATTTCACAGGGAAAATTTTGGTGTTTTGAATATGTGGCCACACATTGAGGATCAACCATAAATGTTAGGCGGCAGTGATCTCTATAAACACCCTCTGATGAAGGTTCAAAGGTCAATAAAGCTCTTTCTTACTTTACCTGTGTACTGAAGTAGCAGAGGATCACCCACGTACAGCACATCTGAGCCTTTACTTCGTATGATTCTTAGAAGGCGGCTGGAGTTATCCAAAGAGGGATGAACACACACTTTGTCCCCTGGAATTGGCACATGTAATGGTAATCGTTAATTGCAAAATAACACTATTTTAAACAATGTGTGATATCAAATTTAGGGACTAAACTAAACAGGTTATTTATTTATTTATTTATTTATTTATACAGGAACAGCTGGTTTAGCGTGGATCTAATTTAAACAGAGTCCTGTAAAAAAACAGAGAAAACAAAGAAAAACAATGATACAAAGAGTAGCACACTAAAAGTATGTAGGCACAACACATTAAAAAGATTCAAGAGATGGCCTGGTGCTTGGAATGTCGTTTCGCCAAGGACTTGTTTTGTTCTGTTTATTTCATTGCCAAGAACTGAACACCAAAGGGTTTATTTATCAAGTTTTAGTTTTCAAAGAGCAACTCTTGGCACATTTGCCTCTTCAAAGTGCTCTATACTTTTGCATCCATCTGTGCCACCAGATCACAGAAACGTTCAATATATTGAACATATATGAGGCTACAATCCGGGACAAAATTAGTACAGACTCTTTTCCCTAAAGGGCCTCTCTGACTTTTTGCCAACTTAAAAAAGGAAAACGCTTTTCCTTCCCCTCCCCCTCCATGCAATGTTTTGCCGCTGTTTGAGCTACCTGCACAAAGCAACAAACACCCCAACTTTGAATGGAAGGGAAGAGCAGGGCTGTGAATTGTTTTGTTCTCTGAAGTTACCCCGTTTGAGGACAATGTTTCAACAACTTTGTCACGGATTGTAGATTTTAATAAATCTTAGTACACTATATGTCTTGGTGTCAGCTGTCAAACAAGGTACTCACCTGGTCCATCACAGTCTGTAGGTATATCACACAGCTGCCTTGACTGCATGGTGCTTCTTGCCGGAAGACATGCATATCCCTTGAACCCAACAACAACAGGAACAACAACGACGAAAACAAACAAAAAAACGTATAATTATATAGATCATTAAGAAAGGCTGGGTACAGTGCAGAGCTGTGCTCTAAAGGTGCTAGATGGTCCCTGGTGTCTTACTTTTGCTCTTTGATGACTAGAAAATCTTAGTAACTTCATGAAAATCATAATTATGCCAGACACCCAACATTTCACAGTTTGAGAGCAACAGGATCGCTTTACTTCTTTGTAAAGCACATGAGCCTTGAACAGTGATCACAAATATCACAAAATTTCAAAAACAGGCCCTGGGGCATATAGTTTTCAAAGCACTGTTTGATGGGCTTATTGCAAGAAAGAATTTTGCATATTTTCAAATTTTCTTGCACCGAAAATCAACTGAAGAAAATTATTTGTGTCAACAACTTTCAAAGTGCAAATGACAATATTGAAGGAATTAAATAGTCCCTCTGGACACACAGACTTCAAAAACCATGCTACTAAACTTTATTAGAAATGGACTACTGTACATTCTGTGGATATTACACAGCCAAAGTTCAAGTACAGTATTTCTTAGTTTATCAGTTAAAATTAGATATTTGAAAAGTTAATGTTCCATAATGTACCTTTGAATGGCTAAGAGACTGGTATTTAAAACAGAACCTTGATGACGTTGAGTTCTGGCAACAGTCATACACTTCACCATTGTAAAATCCACCTTAAAGATATTTAATAATAATTATTTGTACCACTGAGTAAGTTAATTAATTTATCATTAGGAGTGACACTAAATTCAAAAATAGGATAGGAAGGGAAATGGCAGAACAGAATAAATTTTCAGTTTCCATTTTCTTTACTCCATAATTATTGTGTTTTTTCCAAAGTAGCTGAGACTAATATACAGTCTAATAGCCAGGGAAAGCCCCCAGCCACTGGCCCTCAATCATTGACAATCCTGATTAATGGAGACAGACAGTGAAGGGAAAAACTATTGTCATAGGGCACATACTAACCACACAGAATACTTATTAAAGGTACTGCATAATCTAGTAATAACATAAAAAGCAACATGCAGTTTTTAGTGATACAATCAATATTACAAGCAAAGAGATATAAAATTCAAACTTGGATAGTCAAAGAGAAGACTGCCATTCAGAAGCAGGGCAAGGACTGAAAGATCTGTAGTTCTCATCATTAAGACATTCTATAGCAGTTAAAACACTGCATGTATATGTCACAGGTCAAAATTAAATTCAGGTTAAAATTTTTTAACCTAGGTTGATCCTCAATTTCAATTCTCATGAATAATTTGGGCTACAAGACAAAGGGAATCTAAAATCAGCCTAGGTTAAAAACTTTTAACCTGAATTAAATTTTGACCTTTAACATATACAGCAGGATTTCAACAATAATGAGTCCATGTGTATAGTTATTGATTTAATTTCAATGATTTATAAATTTATATAACTGCCAATTCAGAACCACTATATATGCTGTCTGACCTTGTGAAGAGTTTTTCCTAGTGACAGTCAGCATGTCTGTACAGTAACCATGTTGAGGTGTGCTGAGAGTTTTACTGATACAGTCATTCCAGTTTTGTTTATTATACACTTGACATCCATACAGTGAAAGAACAGTGTCACCACGCTGAATGCTGCCATATACTGGAGATTCCTTTAAATAAAAAATATATTGTATATAAAAAGTATTAATATTTATATAAAGAGAATCGTCATCATCATCATCATAATGATCAATGTCATCACTATATTTTTTATGCCATTGCAACTGTGGCCATCTTCAGAATTGGCTGCTGCAGATGGTCTTTGATTATTCCAGATATCAGAAACCTTAATTATAACATAACAACACTCATGCATACTTAAGCAAAAATAATGGTTTCCAGCTATGTACTTTATAACTTTTGAAACTATGGTAGCAGTGAATCGTGAAACTCAGAAATAAAATGTGGAAACCAATGCTATAAAGGACTCTTCTCAAAGGTTTTGAAGAAAGACATTTCAGCTACGTTTAGTTAACACTGAGCGCTTAAAGAACTCCTTTGTAAATAGGTTATGCTTTAATTATTACTCAGCAATATGATTCTACTTTAATTGAAATTTTTTTTTTAAATTTAACTTTGTAACTTTCAATATGTATTTTATCAATTGAATAAAGATTATCATTATCATCATTATTATTTTAAAAGAGAGAAGGCCTGGGTAAGTAACTTGTTCTGTTTTTTAGCTTTTCCAAAATCATCATTTGCAACTCAATGGCTGGATTTGTGTATGGCTCAATGGTCTGAATACCTTTCTCTATGAGCCTACCGTTACAATAAACCATAGGTTTTTTTAAGATACTACACACAATCTAATCATTAGATTGCATGTACTGTGTCAGTTATTTTGTGACATATAATAACACTCTTTGCATGGACCAACCTTTAAGACATTCAATACCACAGCACCCTGACCCGTCACATAAACTGGAAGCAGAATGTAAGGTAGACACCAGAGGATCAGTAATCCTACTAAGACAAGCACTGCATTGTGCCACACACCAGCACAGTAGATTCTCAGTTGACGCAGTGGTGAAATGACAGTCAAGTGCTCAGTGTACAGATCTACAAAGGCACCAGGGTAAACAGCCATGAAAAACATACCAAATCCATTCACACGAACTTGCTCTCTGAAAAGAAACAGGAAATGACTTGTCCAGTTTAAGCCATGCTCATGTGGCCCACATCTCTGTTAAAACCCTCCTCCTTCTGGTGACATCTTCATGTCCTTGTAACATCAAAACCTCACCTTAGGGTAGAATTATTTGCAACATACCTATGCGTATATAGCCATATTTACCTTATAAATTGAATCTTCAAAGTTCAATTAAATTTCCCATTGACTAGGATAAAATATATTTTTCTCTAAAGCTTAACTTGACTCCAACAATACATATCCAAAATAAGGCTCATTTAGGTACAATGGAAAGATACATGTACAATGTATTTGTCCTTTTAACAAATCAGACATCATTGGCGCAAGGGACATGGTACCATGTGGTCAGTAAGTTGTGAATATCTTGACAAGAAGACATTAAACAGTACCACTGAAAATCCACCTTCTAGTGATACAAGAGTCTGGTAACTTACTTTTGAGCGGTACTGGACATTTAACCGTTTTAATAAATGTTGAAGCGAGTCTGCTTTCCGCTTCAATCAGGAAAATGTTTCACCTGTGCATGATTACCGATTTTGGAAGATTATCCCAGTAACTGAATTATATAAAATCAGTGTTTCGAAAGGAAATGTTTGTAAACACGTGAAATCGACGCTAAAAGTGTGTGGCTTGTTTTTCATCGTAAGCGAAGTTTGTTAATTAATGAATGGTAAAAGGCTTGAAACTCCCGTCACGCTCCTTGAATGTGAGATACACTGAAGTAAAGACGTCTCTCCATTTTTCTTGCTTCATCCCAAACTGTCCCCCGCCCTCTAGGTGGATTTTACACTCGTCCAAGATGCTCATCAAGCGCTCGATCTTGACGATCTTATGGAAAAATAGGGGACTGTGAATGGTCTACATACCTTACAGCTGAGATAGCATGTCCAAATTCATGGAATACTCCACTGATTGTCAGTGTTAAAAGGTAATATAACACTTGACTCCAGGGGACATTCACTCCTGGCATCTGATTAAAAAGTGAATACAAATGACAGTTAAGACAGACCTTACAAGGGATGGTTACTGGGCCTTTCTACCAGCCAGTTCAGCAAATTAACCAAACAGAGAAAACCATTTTAGAGACTTCTGAGGTGCTTGGAAATGGTATAAGGTCATCTTGCCAACGAGTCATTTCACATATGTCCTGTTTGCAAATGCCTTAAGTTGTTTCACTTACCTGTTGGGTTGTGTCGCTAACACTTTAAAAGTGTCATAAGTTGTTTTGGTAAAATCTTGTAAGTCATTCTTTGAATAAAACCTTCCTCTAGAAGAATTATGTCCTGTGCCTGCCTGTTTTTTCG